GGCTTTGGATCCAGAGAACATTACAGTAGATAAGTAACTAATTTAACGCTTTTTGTGCTAGAAAGCTTCATATATCCAGCATACATAAGTTACAGTAGTTAACAGCAATGGTTTGCTAAGATTTCCAATACTGTAATTGTTTATTTTTATGTAAGTTTCAAAAGTAAAAACAAAATTGCTCTTAAAAATATTAGCCAAGAAAAATTAACAGTATTATACCTTTTATGAATTTGTTTCATTAATATAGCACAAAAGAAATGGAGAAATGGTGAAATCTAATCTGATGTAATTTCAGTCCAAACAAGAAATAAAATACAAATAAGGAAAACCTTTTTCTGGGTTGAATTCATATAGCTCTTACTCAGCTATATGACCTTTAAAATTGAGATGTTTTAAAATTTTCATGCAATTATTTTTTTCAGCATAAAATGCTGTTTTGGACTATAACTCAGCAGACCATCATTCTAAATAAACCCATCAATTCTGGTCAAATTTGAAAAATTGTTTGCATTTTGAGAGAGAAAGCGAAAAAGAGAGAGAATTTAAAAATAAAAATATTTTATTATTTTGCGTATGTTGCACATTGTTTAACTGACTGATATTTTAATTTCAGTGTTTTCTACCCCGATAAATAAATAAATAAATAAATAAATAGTAATTTTCATAAAGGACCAAAAAAAAAAAAAAAGTTGCATCTGCTGCCATCCCTAGGGGACAACCCATTACTCCCAGTCCTCCAGAATTCCCCTGCCCCTGTGGGAATTATATGGAACCTTACAAGTTTACAGGGCTTCTGTTGTATTTTTGCTTCACCCCTACACCTGTCATGTAGTGTGCATTACAATTACAGGAGCAAAACTAGGGTTTCACATCAGGCACATTTTCCTGCACCTGACAAACTGATCAAGTTATCAAGCACTTGAGGTAGAACAAGAGGTTCTCATTTGCTTGTTTTTTTGTTTCTCTTACCCATGAAATCAGCGAATCCTGGAAAAACAGCTCTTATGTTCAAGCAGATGTAAAATCATAGTAGGAGCAATTTTAGGTGTATGTAACTAATGCAGTTTCATCAGATCCCACTGCTCAGATGAGTCCCAAATCCTTTTCACAGGATCCCAAATGCCATAAGTAATTTGGTCAGATGTCCAGCTGTGGTTCTTTCTTATCTCTACCTGGAAACACACCTGAGTCACTACAATGAGGTTAAATGTGAGTAAACTCCTTATAATTATGGCAATGGAGGGGAAAAAATATTTCTTCCTATCTAATCAGTATTATCTTACCAAAGAAAATCTAAATGTTCCTATGTGATTCCAAATGATTGCATGCAGTGAAACATCAAGTACATGAGAAGACATGTCTATATCTCAACAATTTCACAGGTCTTCCCTTAAAAAAAGTCACACATACAGTTAACTAAGAGTCGCAGTAGTTTCCCATATCACAAAAGAAATTGTCTATGTACCATATGATTATTTAATAGAATTGTCAAAACTTTAGAAAGTGCAATTTAAATTAAGAGTAAATCTGTGGAAGTATAGCAAGATTATCCATCCTCATTTATATTTGCTTATACAGCCCTATTTCTTTTGGGATGTGTGCATATTAATTGTGACACAGTCTTTAATTACATAATTATATCCTTTCCACAGAAGACCTGATTCAGTCTGTGCCTTACAGATGAATATGAAGGTCAATTGTTTAGCTTCCAATCTTCTCAACACTATTGTCATCTAGCTGGACAGACTGTATATACCTTGATAAAATGACATTTCAGGCTTGCTGATAAAAATTTATCCCAAAACCACATTTTATTCCAGTTTTTAAAAAAGTCTCTACCATAGAAAGTGAGAAAGAGAACAGAAGATCTTACTTCTACAGTTTCTCAAATGAAGTGTCATATCAGGGAACAGCCTAGTATCCTGCTGGCTAATCTATGAATAAAATTGAGGAATTGAGACCTGAAGAAGAGGAAACATCTTCTCAAGAAACTCCCAATTCCTCCTCTGCTCAGAAGAGCAAGAAAAAAAAAAGGGTTATAGGAAAGAAGCTGTACAAGACACAAGCAAACAGAAGCAGGACAGATCTCAACTGATTTACCACTCCTTCAGTGATATATAACAAATATGTGTAGAAAGACAAGTACATGCAGTGAACGTTATAAGTCATCAGATATAAATGCTGTTGTTTAATAAACTTATTTTCCTGTTCAAGTAATTCACAGGTGAGAAAGGCAGAGGAATCAGTAATCACGGACATAAAATCATTTAATCATAGAATGCTTTGGGTTGGAAAGGACCTTAAGGATCATCTAATTCCAACCCCTCTGCCATGGGCAGGGACACCTCCCACCAGAGCCCCATCCAGCCTGGCCTTGAACACCTTCAGGGATGGGACATCCACAGCTTCGCCAAGCAAGCTATGACAGGACCTCATCACCCAATAATTTCTTCCTAATATCTAATCTAAATCTACCCTTTTTTAGCTTAAAACCTTTATCCCATATCACTCCCAGATAAAGAATAGCTTCCAGGCTTTCCTGTAGACCCCTTTAGGTCCTGAAGGTCACTGTAAAGTCTCCCCAGAGTCTTCTTTCTCTCCAGGATGAAAAACCCCAACTCTCTAAGCCTATCTTAATAGGAGAGGTGCTCCAAACCCTTGATCATCTTTGGGGCCCTCCTCTGGACTCATGTCCTTCCATGTCAGGTCCATGTCCTTCCTGTGCTGGGGGCCCCAGAACTGAACACAGTACTCCACGTGGGGTCTTATGACAGCAGAGTTGAGGTAATCACCTTCCTCGAACTGCTGACCATGTTTCTTTTGCTGCAGCTCAGGGTACCTTTGGCTTTCTGGGCTGCAAGCACACACGGCTGGCTCATGTTCAGCTTTTCGTTCATGAATTTTCACAAGTCCATCTCAATCCATTCTCCACCCCGTCTGAATTTGTGCTTGGCATGCAGGTGCAGGATCTTGCACTTGGCCTTGTTGAATGAACCTCATGTGATTCACACAGACCCAGCTCTCAAGTCTGTCAAGGTCTCTCTGGATGGCAACCTTTCCTTCCAGCACGTCAACAACAAAACAACTTGGTGTCATCTGCAAACTTGCTGAGGGTACATTCAATCTCACTGTCCATGTCACCAGCGAAGACGTTCAACAGCACCAGCCCCAGTACTGATCTCTAAGGAACACCACTTGTTACTGATCTCCACATGGACATTGAGCCATTGGCAGCAGCTCTTTGAGTGCAACCATCCAGCCAAGTCCTTACCCACTGAGCGGTCTATCTGTCAAATCGATGTCTCTTTAATTTAGAGACAAGGATATCATGGGGGACAGTGTCAAATGCTTTGCACAAGTCCAGCTAGATTGAAGCCATGTTGGCTTTAACCTATCACCTCTCTGTTTCTAATGTGTCTTAGCACAGTTTCCAGGAGGATCTGCTCCATGATCTTACCAAGCACAGAGGTGAGATTGACTCATCTTTAGTTGACCAGGTCTTCTTTTTTTCTCTTTTTAATTGGGGTCTTTTCTTTAATGGAGGACTACACCAAACAGCTGGACATCCATATATAATGAATCTTCTCAACTTCCATGGAGTTTTTCACATTCTGGTTCCTAAGATCTAACCGGATCTTCTCCAAAAGTGGGAAGTTCTTCATTCTCTCAATCCCTGAATTAGGATTCTGTGAAATGGGCAGTGTGGCTAGAGCACTTGCCAATGATGTCTAAGGCAAAAAAGAGTACCTCAGCCTTCTCCATGCAAGTTGTAGCCAGGTCTCCTGTTTCACTCATCAGGGGGTTGCAGTGTCTTTTATCCTCCTTTGTTATCCTATGTATTTCAAGAAATCCTTCTTGTTATTTTTTATATCTCTAGCTCCGGCTGTGCCTTGGCTACCCTGACACCTCCCTGAACTCCTGGGCCATATACCTATAATCTTCCCAGGATATTTATCCTTGCTTACACTGCCTATGTGTTTTGGTTTTGGGTCTGAATTTGGCTAAGAGTTCTTAACTTAGCCAAATTGGTCTCCTGTTTCCCTTGCCCAACTTCTTGTATGCTGCAATTTAGCTCTCTTATGCCCTAAGAGAAATGTCTTTAAATATCTCCCAGCTCTCATTTGCTCTATTATCTCTAACAGCAGTTTCTCAAGGGATCCCATGTGTTTGTGCCCTGAACATCTACAAGTTTGTCTTTGTGAGTTTTAGGGTCTCAGACCGTACTATGCATCATAAGAAAAGGCAGGCACTATGTTTCTCAGTTCACAGAAAGATGCTTTCCTGGACAAATGTTTTTCAGTACCCAGGCACATGCTTCAGTCTCAAAATCAGTCAAAAAGCCTTGGGCTACTACAGAGCCTGTTAACCTGGGCAGTTGTGCATCTCCATGCATGGGTAGTGTGGTAGCTCAGGACTATGCTCACATCACTGAATGCATTTGGAAAGAGGACATTCAGACTCTGCAGCCGGAGAGCAAGAGGAACTGTACACCATCCTAGGACCAGGGCACTAGTACAGGCAGTTGCCATAGTGCTGTTTTGGTACACTCAGGGCATTTGCATGCCAGAACAAACTTTTTCTTGACTGTACATTGAATTCACCTACCAAAAAATATGTATGCATAAAGGACATTAAATTTGTCAAGTAGAAAAGTTGTGGAAGCTGGTGATACCGGTTTGCTGCTCATCCATGGGAGCTGTCTTTAAGTATAACTGAGGCAGAGCTGTGAACAGCTGTTATGAAGTCCACAGCACCAGGCATAATCTCCCATGCAGGGCAGTCACCCTTGGCAATAAGCTGGAAAAAGTGGTGTTGTTTGAAACAATGGTGCTGACCTGTACCTGAGCCAGAAATTCAACTTGTATCTTCACCTGCCTTTGAGGTTGTGCCCGGTATGGAAGCCTCTGTGAAACACAGGTGACAGCAACGAATTAAAATTATGTAAAGGAAGTGGTGAAGAGCGTGTCACTCCCCTCTTACTTATTTGCCTTCCTGTAGCAATACAATGGACGTAGCTGTGCTTTTTCCCTGTTGCCTTACGGAAGTGTGGGGTAAGGGAAATGAGTAAGATGTAGGCGTTTGTTTTTTTTTTTACACCCTCTTACGTGGGCAGTTTAGAAGTGCTTAATAATGAAATAACACTGTCAAAGCACAGAAAAATATGCCTCTGAGACGAATTTATGACTTCCGTCCTTTCTGTGCCCCTTTACTATAACCGCCACAGGGAAACATCTTTGCAAGGAGGAGGTATGTTTATTTTTCATATTTCTCTGTTGTTAAATTTTATCTCAAAGAAGCTAGGCAAAGAAATACTGTATTCTGTCATTGTGTTGTTGTGATATTCTTAAAATAACTCTGTGAGAGGTGGATAAACACACTACTTACAAAATGCATGCTTTTGTCTCCAAAGACAACATTTTGATGGCTTATTAGCACATTCTTTTCTGCAATCTGAAAATAGTTATTTAAAATTATTTAAAAATGGAAAGTGACCATATTAACAGCATTATTGGGTTCATCCAAGTAGCAGTATTTTGCTTGTTACAGCAAAACCTGCATTACAGTATTGAAGAGTGCCTATGTCCCTTTCTGTATTCTCTTGTAGAAAGCACAGCTTGCCTGGAAATATTCAGATTTTTAAATTCATACAGAAAAATCTCTATACAGAGTAAATTCCTTTGAGTAGTACTGCATTTAAGTACCAGTTGAATAGAAGTATTTATGTGTCTTTTCTCTTATTCCAATTTTAATACTGAGGTAGAATATTTCACAATATCCATAATTCTCTGAATATGTCTGAGGAATGTAAGCATAAATTTATCCTTATAGCACATAAAACATGTAAGCAACAATTACATCTCTAATATTCCCCTACAGGCAAAAATAATTCTCTAAATGTCTCAGAGGTAAATCTGGGAAATAAACTTAGAGGTCTAGTCTTAAGTAAGGTGCCCAGCATTAATAAGGTATTCTTTCCCTGCCCATTCCCCTTCCCAAAGGGGAAAAAAAAAAAAAAGAAAGAAAAAAAAGTGTTATTTTTGTTTGTTTGTTTGTTTGTTTGTTTTCCAGTAAGAAACCTTCCTTTCCAATGGTTATAAAAGTCATAGCATTATCAGACATGAAGACATGATAAGCTACATGGTCATATATTACTTATAACCAGCAGGTTATTGGGCAGATTTTTTCTTGTCTAATCATTCTCTTTTCGTCTCTAATCAGTCTGAATGAGAATAGTCACTGCAGCAGGATTTCAACCTAGATAATATTTCCAAAATTCAAAAATAAACATCATCATGTCTCAGGACTGAGCATTTTCAGGAAAAAAAAAAAAAAAAAAAAAAAGTAATTAAAATTGACTTGTTCTGCAGTATGAAGTCTAGCTGTAGCCTATTTTCATGGAAAATTCTACAATGCGAGAATAAAACAGCTTTGCATGGAAATACTTTGTTTCCTTAATATTTTGGTCAATAATCTGCACAGCAATTACTTGGGATGTAAGAGAAAGTTTTTCCCACCTTTGAGGAAAAAAAGTACAGTTCTACTGCAACAGTTTTTCTAAAGAGAAGAAATATATGATAATACCACAGGTATAAGAAAGAGAAGGAAAAGATATTTTCAAAAATGATTTTGTGATTTTCATAGAAAAAGAAAAAAGGCAGTGTTTCTGTGTAGTAGTTATATGTGGATTCCAGATAATGTAAAATGCAGAATGAATTATTCCTTCTGGATTAAAGGCAGAAAACTTTGTTATAGAGGGATGCCTCTAGGCTGGTCATCCTGACCTATCTTTCCAGTGACTGGTGCGAAACAAACAGAGTGAAGGCTTTATTCATCACATGCTAGCTTGAATAAACAGTCTTAAGTATTGTTTCTTTCCAGCCACTTTAAAGGCAGCATAGAATTACCGGCTCCTTTGTGGGCACAGCTATACAGCACTTGTACAATGTCAAGTAAGATGAACTCCACCCTGCAGTCTGGTGGCATCTTCAGAGTTAGGTTAAAAGGTTAAATCAAGTTAATTTCTTTTTGTTTGTTTCCAATCGTAAAGTATGGTGTTTTAATTCCAAATATGTTATTTGTAATTCTTTACAAATTGTGTCCAAGATCTGAGAGCAGTTTATGCATTTTCTATTCAGGAAATTTTGAATAAAAAGTAAAAATGGTCTTGGGCTCAAGGCCCAGAAGTGAAATCCAGTCTTTCTTTGTTAGCAATCCGTATTACCACAAAGAATCCAGAGTAAAATTTATTTTCTTTGACATGTTTCTGCAGATACAACTCCTACAGTTTGTAATATCCACAGAAGTGATGGAGCTAACCTAAGCTGACTCAAAGAAAGTGAAGAAAGAAAGAATGATACATAGAAGCAAATATATAAACAAAGAAAAGAAAACACTGTTTGCTTAAAATAGTGTGTTGTAGTGTGTTGGGTGCAAACACAGTAATCACATCAGCTCCACTCAAAAATAAACAGCACCTTGAAGGAAGGTTAGCCATACTTTTGCACACCACAGACGGGTGAATAAAGAAGAAATTAAAAATAAATCTCCACAAAACTATAACATTGTATTAGGTCTTCTAGATAGCAGCCTCATTGTATTAGGCGTCCTAGATAGCAGCCTTTGCCTCTGGAAACTTTGAGCCAGGCCATATTTATTATGTGCCTACATTCCGAGTATGGTCAAATGAAAAAAAAAAAAAAAAATCCCTTCTGTAGAGTAGTCCCAAAAACCTTTACACAGCACAGTACCTGCCTGAATCTAGCCAAGAAAAAATATGAGGTACAAGGTATAAGAGTGTATTCTTGAGCACCTTTTCTGGAGAAACATTACTTTTTCTTATATCACTGCTGAGGAAATAAAAGGATCCAGAAGGAAAATACACCTTTTAAATTCTCCCCTTGCTCACCCAAGGGATGCAATGGAGGCCAAATAAATTATAGAATCATTAGGGTTGGAAATGATCTCCAAGATCATCTGGTCTAACCATCACCCTACTACCAATGTCACCCATTAAACCTTGACACTAAGCACCACATCCAACCTTTCCTTAAACATTCCCAGGGATGGTGACTACACAACTAAAAAAATAGATTTAGAAGGGATAGAAGAAATTAATGGGAGATCTGGCTTTCTCAGACTGCTAAGTACAACAATCTAAAAAGTAGCTCCTAAGTTTGAAACCCCTTAGGACACTTCTCACCAGTAGCTGAGAGATTCTGTAAGTGGAGGCTTGCTCTGTGCTTTCTCTTTCCTTTTACTTTTCTCCCTAAGAATCCACTGATGCCAGTTTTGGTCTGCTCAAATACAGTATTTTGTCTGAAATCAGTGCTGTCGGCTATGTGATCAGTTGCTGTATGGGGAAATAAAGAGAAAGAGGCTTCCAGCTTGGACTGCAATGAAGCTTGGACAGGAGACAGCCAATTGTTCTCATAAGATGATGGCTTCTTAGCATTATTTGGGAACAAGTGTTTGACATGGGGGGTGCTGTAAGGCTCACTGTAGAGGTACATCCAGTGGTAGGCAGTGATGGTGCTTAAGCTCAACAATTCACTGACTTGGAAAGCTGTGATGCAGACCTTCAGTTCATGATGATAGTAGCTACTACATGATTATTATTTCCCATTGAAGATCTTACCTTTTGATAGGGAAGACACAACACATGGAATTTATTCCTCATGTGAATATACAACTAGAACAGCTCTTTAATGTAAGCAAATTATCAACTTGCACTTCATTTTTTTCTTGGTTTTGCATTAATGATATGGATATTTGGGCATATCAAGTCCTGTGCATTCAAAATTCACCTTGAATCCAAAGTGCCTTACTCTTGAACAGATTAACAATGGTTCTAAATTCAAGATTGAAAATATGCCATTCTCTCCTGCAGGAACTAGTTTTGGGAAACAGTCTCAGAGTTAGGTTGTAATCATCTAATTGTTACACAGTGAAAGAGGTGGAAAGCTTATTTTAAATCCTTAGTCCTTTATAAATAAACCAAAAGTCAGTGCTTAACACAGACATGGGATAGAGAACTTCCCTGGCTCATAGCTGTAGAACTTATGTTCCATTGTAGGCTGGACCTTAGATAAACTGAGGATCTAGACAAAGTTCTCAATAGTGACCGTCTTCATTAATAATCTCCACTACATCATGTCCCTGAGCTGATTAAATCATAGTCAAATTCTCAGTATCTGTAACAATGGTAGATAATCCTCAGACTCAAAACAGATAAAATCACTGCTACGTTGAAGTAAACATGTAATTGCAAGATCCAACTAGTATGCAGTTAGTTTTGCTAATCAAGTGCTTAAAAACCACTAAATAGACATGCAGAGCTCTACAGGGTTTAAGCAGTTACACAATCTCTCCACAGAATTGATGTGGGATATTCTTCCTGTGTTTGCAGACATGAATGGCACAGCCATAGAAAATTTTATCTGTGTGATATATAATGTTTCTTTCATGAACTGCACTTGGCATGTGAGCAGGACAGTTCCAGGAGATACCCAATATTTCCTGTACTGGAAGAGCTCACGGTAAGTAGGTCTTCTTGAGTCTTGGGAATTTTGAATTCTGGTCTGACATGTGACATTACTAATATTTAACTGAAGCAATTTGTCATATAAAGGAAAGAAGATTTCATAGGATGCCAGAATTATGTCAAAGATAATTGGGGAAGGCACACGGGATGTAGATTCCAAAATGTGACAATAGAAGATAAGAGAGTTTATTTTCTGGTAAATGGAAGTGGACAAAACATTCAGTCCTACGAGAATATGATTTATCTGTACAAAATTGGTAAGGATATTTTTTTTTTCAATTTTATTTCATAGAACCATAGAATGGCCTGGGTTGAAAAGAACCTTAAAGATCATCTACTTTCAATCCCCCTGCTCTGGGAAGGGTTACCAACCACTAGAGCTGGCTGCACCCAGCCTGGCCTTGAATGCCTCCAGGGATGGGGCATCCACAACCTCTCTGGGCAACCTGTTCCAGTGCCTCACCACCCTCTGAGTGAGAAACTTTCTCCTAATTTCTAACCTAAATCTTCCCTGTCTTAGTTTAAAACCATTCCCCCTTGTCCTATCACTATCAACACATGTGAACAGGTGTTCCCCCTCCTGTTTATAGGCTCCCTTCAAGTACTGGAAGGCCACAATGAGGCCTCCCTGGTGCCTTCTCTTCTCCAAGCTAAACAAGCCCAGATCACTCAACCTTTCTGCATAGGAGAGGTGCTCCAGACTTCTGATCATCTTGGTGGCCCTCCTCTGGACTCGTTCCAAGAGCTCCGCATCCTTCTTGTGCTGGGGGCCTCAGGCCTTCATACAGTAGTCCAGGCGGGGCCTCACAAGACCAGAGTAGAAGGGGACAATCACCTCCCTCTCCCTGCTGGCCACCCCTTTTTTGATGCAGCATAGGACATAGCTGGCCTTCCAGGCTGCAAGCATGCACTGACGGCTCATGTGTACCTTTTTTGGGGTCCACATCAGGACCCCAAAGTCTTTCTCCACAAGGCTGCTCTCAAGTTCTTCTTTGCTCAGTCTATATAAATACTGGGATTGCCCCAACCCAAGTGCAACACCTTGCACTTGGACTTCTTTTGGCCAAGAAGGCCAACGGCATCCTGGCTTGTATCAGAAACAGCGTGACCAGCAGGGCTAGGGAGGTGATCGTCCCCCTGTACTCGGCTCTGGTGAGGCCGCACCTCGAGTACTGTGTTCAGTTTTGGGCCCCTCGCTACAAGAAGGACATTGAGGTGCTTGAGCGGGTCCAGAGAAGGGCGACGAAGCTGGTGAGGGGTCTGGAGAACAAGTCCTACAAGGAGCGGGTAAGGGAGCTGGGCTTGGTCAGCCTGGAGAAGAGGAGGCTCAGGGGCGACCTTATTGCTCTCTACAGATACCTCAAAGGAGGCTGTAGCGAGGTGGGGGATGGCCTGTTCTCCCACGTGCCTGGTGACAGGACGAGGGGGAATGGGCTTAAGTTGCGCCAGGGGAGTTTTAGGTTAGATGTTAGGAAGAACTTCTTTACTGAAAGGGTTGTTAGGCACTGGAACAGGCTGCCCAGGGAGGTGGTGGAGTCACCATCCCTGGAAGTCTTTAAAAGACGTTTAGATGTAGAGCTTAGGGATATGGTTTAGTGGGGACTGTTAGTGTTACGTCAGAGGTTGGACTCGATGATCTTGAGGTCTCTTCCAACCTAGAAATTCTGTGTGATTCTGTGATTCTTGGACCTCATTAGGTTCTTATGGGACCACTTCTCCAGCCCGTCCAGTTCCCTCTGGATGGCATCCCTTCCCTCTATTGTATCAACTGCACCACTCAGCTTGGTGTCATCTGCAAACTTGCTGAGGGTGCACTCAATTTCGTCATCACCATGGTAGATGATATCCATCACCCTTCCCTTCTATTTCTAATATTACACTAAGGGAGTGAAGAATTCATCCCTGGGGGGGAAAAAAAAAAAAAAAAAAAAAAAAACTTTTTAAAAATCCTTTCCTCAGAACAGAGAGACAATCTGAAAATCTGAAACCCCACAGGTCAGATAATTTTGAACATTTCAGTCAAATATGTGTTCTGTGAAAGAACAAGCTCACCTTTTGGAATTAAGTGGCCATGGATGCCTGAGTGGAACTAACTAGATGTTAGGTCTATACCAGTATCTCATAATTCTGAACTCTGTTCATCCGCAGAATACAAAAGAACCAAGCGCTTTAGTACAATGAGTAAAATATTTTTTCATTTTTTTAATGAGTTTATAGTTAGAAAAAGAAAAAAAAAAAAAGAAGGAAATTGATTCAATTTAATATGAATACACACACAAAAAAATGCTGCTCAGATTAAATTTCTCATTTCACTAAAATATCACAACAGGTTTGTTTCATAGAATCATTAGGATTGGAAAAGACCTCCAGGATCATCTGGTCCAACCATCACCCTACCACCAATGTCACCCACTAAACCATGTCCCTAAGCACCACATCCAAACTTTCCTTATACACCCCCTTGGACAGTGACTCTACCACTTCCCTGAGCAACCCATTCCAATGCCTGACCACTCTTTCTGGGAAGAAATTTCTCCTAATTTCCAACCGGAGTTTATTTGTTCTAATTTCATTTTACCTACAGTTATTTCTGATATTCCAAGCACCTCAAGTGGAATGAAAGTTCTGCTTTTGAATATGGGGTGAATCTGGTAATTCTCACAAAGCTGCATTACAACTTTTTAGACCACTTATTTGAACAGCCACCTAGCCACTTATATTAAAAAACAAACAAACAAACAAAAAAAAACACAGAGTAAAAAGACTTGTTTTTTAATCAGTTTTATTCATAGATGCATAATAATTTTGTTCTTAATTAAATTATTTCAGAGAAGCTCACCCCTCCATTAAATGTCACTGTGAACTGTACAGGACTTTCTCATAGTTGTGAAATTAAGTGGCAACCACCTCGTACAAGTCATGTGAAAAGAGACACTTGTTTCAAATATCAAGTTGTCATAGAAAAGAAGGTAAGAAGAATTGATTATAACACTTAACTCTGTTTGCCTGCTTGTATTTCCACACACACTACCATACAACTGATCCCCTGTTCTTCTGTTTGAGTGACCACTCCATTTTTATACAAGGTATCCTTGCACAGGTATAGAAGTGCTATCAGACCATGCTACATTAAAGAAACTGGTCAAGGATCCCCACACTGAGGGTGAATACACAGAGCATAATCTTCCTCGCCATTACTATTATTACCTCCTTCACCTTCCCCCCCCCCCCAAAAAAAAAAAAAAAAAAAAAAAAAGACCCTAGCTTGGCCTTCTTGGTTTATGGAAGTTGGCTGACATGAACATAATTCTGCAAAAGGATGTAGTTGGCCAATAAAGTGAATTACATAGTGAATTCAATGTGTAACTGGAATTCTTGGATTGTTGCAAGGGCTCAAAATTGCCAAAATTTTTAACTTTAAATGTAGCTAGCTGGTTTAAAGATCAGAAGGGTATGATGTTCCTCATTTGCAGAGCACTAGAGGAAAAAAAGTGAGCAATGCGAAGTAGAAATGTAGATGGTTTAAATAGATAATGCTAACACCAACATTTAACATGCTCATCTTATAGCTTGTGCCACATTCTCCCTCGTGGTTTTGTTTTTGTTGTTGTTGTTTTGTTTTGTTTTGTTTCTTGTATGTTTCCTGTTTTACTGTTAACTGGAATTCTGTAATTCTTTTGTATGCAGCTTTTGTGTAAACAAGCATCCTCCCAGATCCAACTGTCTACTTAGATGACCTCAATGTCTGTACCTTATCTGATTCTGAGGTTTAGCTAAAGTAGGTCTGCATCTTATATACAGTTGTGAATTTCACTTCAGCTGTCACAATCAGATATAAATGGGCAGAAATACACATCAGTTCATTGTGGGTTGTGGGAGGGCTTGGGTTTGTTTGTTGTTTTTTTATTATTTTTTTTTTCAAGTTCAGTGTCTTTTTTTTAACTTAAAGTGGAAAGAACCATCCATGTCTTAATAAAATATGTATACATATATATTGTACATGTTATTAGAACAGAATAACCAGGTTGTCCAGATCTTACCTATATATGGTTGTTACTATGCATTTTAATAATTGCAAGTATTTTGATGATATGGGTGAATACACACGGTAGTATCCATCAAAAATACTGCTTGAAATATTTGTAGAAACAGTTGAACTCATGGTTCCAACAGTAAAAAAAAAAAAAAAAAAAAAATCAAAAGGAAGACATAACATAACTAATTAAAAGATTAACAGTGTAAAAGTTACATAGACAAAAATTTTGATGAAGAAAGCATTGCCCCAGTTTGTTAGTATTTTTAAAGATACTCTTATGTACAACTGAAACACAGACTTTTCATTTGTGGGCAACCTGAGCCTTTTGTTGTTGTTGTTTAGTTCTTTGATTCACAGTTCTGCAATTAAAATTAAAGTGTACATTATTTTAGACCATTAGTGGTAAGGAAAAATGTTTCAGTGGAAGAACTGTTTAACTTCATGGTCTATAAAAGAAGGCATATGAAGCACGTGGGTTTTGTTGTTGTTGTTTTCTGAAAATCAAACATTCATAAGGCGAGACACCTTATTACAAAGAAACAAAAGGAACAATCATAAACATTCAAGTTCTCTGTTGTTGCTAGGTTGATCCTGAGAAAGGCATCAAAGACACATCCAAAATGGCAAGTCTTTATTATCCTATTAATCTAACATTTATGCTGTTTTTATGCTATGTTTATATAACAATATCCTCCAGTCAAATTGCCTTGGTTTCAGTATACTGTGTATGCTTCTTATTGACAAGTTTCCTCAACATAGTTTTAAACTGTTGTTTATAAAATATATTCCCACATATATGAAACTTTATATTATTTCTTTGCAAGTCACAAAATCTTCCATTTTACAGTTCATTGTACTTCCTAGCAAACTCATACTTGTGTATAAATATGGATCATAATTCCACATTTCTGTTGAAGATTAAAAAAAAATAATGAAGAAAAGGAGAACTATGGAGATTTGTACTTTATTAATGGTCTCTGGGAGAGGTCGAGATGAAGGATGCAGGAAAATATCAACTGAAAGATTAAATCAGTATAAAGGAGGAAGAAGAAAAAAAAAAAACACACAGTTTTCAAGAAAGTTCAGTACTCTTCTGAGAAGCATTTCCATATACGTCAAATGTTTCACTTCTATGTAATCTGATTGTTAAACTTTACTTCAGTTTTGAAAACAATTATGGGAAAGGGAATGCCAATTCTTCCGAGAAGTTCCTGCTAAAAGACTTACAGATTGAAAATACACTATTGTTTTGTTTTGTTTTTTTTTCCAAAATTTTGCTCTTTAGAAGAGGTTAAATGCTGCAAATTTCATCCTCCCAGCACCACTGACAAAGATATTCATACAAAAGGAATTAAAATGGAACAAACTAATTTCTTAAGGGATGATTTTCTATTTGTTATTTCACTCATCTGTCCATAGATATATGTGTAAAATTTGTAAGTGTCTACATCATTAAATGAAGCAGACACATTGTTATCTAGCAAAGAAAAAGCTCTCAGTCTAGTTTTCTGTTTAGGAAACAAACATCACTGGAAACTCCTACATATTTGACAGCTTTAGTGCAGAAAGAAGATACAGCATCAAAATCAGAGCTACTGACAATGGTTGCTTAGTGAGCAAAAACTGGGGGGAGTGGAGTACACCTGTAGAGTTTGGTAAGAATGAAAATCATTTTCTTGACCTATTTTTTTTCTCAGATATTACTTGTCTGCCTCACTTCTTACTTCAAAGATAGAAATATTTTTATATTTGCAAATTTCTTCAATTTGCTAGGATGAAAGGAGCAAAGAACTGGAACATCTCTTAATATAAGGGAGGTTTCCAACCATTCTGTTGTGACAGTTAATTCTTCTTGCAAGAAGACGGTGAATAAAGCACATTTTTTCAGGTCTTCATTGTTAGCTGTTTTCCTTCTTCCATTTCTACTTTTGTCTTCATAAACTTCTTATTTCCCTGTTGCTCCCTGCCACCTTGAATTTTGAAGTACTCTGTAGGACTCAAAACCTCACAAAATGAGTTTCTGAGGGTTGAGGCTTGGTAGTCTCAAGTTACTGGATATGGCCCACATACTGTCTGCCATCCTACTCATTCACATGTTACAAGATCATGAGGAGCTAGGCTAAGGAAGTAGTGACTTCATAATGGTGTTTCACATAGTTGAACAATCTTTCTTATTCTGTGATACTAAACAACATTTTGATGACTACATGTCTTTCAGGAGGAGAACAACTTATGTCTACTTCATCATATCTGCTACTTCTGGTATCAGGACTGGCAGCAAGTGTCGTATTTTTTCTCTGTGCAGTGTAAGCTTTGTTTCTTGTGCATTTTTTTTTTATTCTGTACCTGAAATAACTCCTCTTTCTCCAATAGAAATGTTCTGGTGTCTTTTAAGGAGGAGGGAGGGGGAAAAAACTGACACTGAATTGTTGCAGGAGTCATGACACCATACATGTAGACATTCCTCAAGTGGGCTCTACATTCCTGATTTCCAACCCTTTTACTTGCTTGATCAATATTGCACAACTCCTTTCAAGACAAGGTCTTATATCAGTTCTCCTTTCCTACTTTCAGATACTGCAATGTAGAGGTGTGGCATGTAAAATTTCCTTGTTTTAAAAATATTTCTCTTTAAGAGGATGAAAAAACTTCCTATGATTTATTAAAAATTCATAAAAGGGATTATTATAATCCAAATTCTGAACAATGAACTGATGCCATTGTTTTAAATCCACATAATTTTTAGTTAATCTTTCATTACTTTTGTCTTGGAGGAAGAAAATAATAACTCAGGAGTATAATAAAATTATAGTACATTTTGATGTTTGCATACTGAGTCTTTTCTTCACCACCCCTTTTTGTCACTGTAGAAATATTTATTTGAAAACAGTACCTGCTAGAGTACTACAGCCAAAAGACCCGTTCCATGAGATCGCTCCAATGAATTTCCAGGTATATTTTCCTTCCATTTGTCCAAAATTTGTTGTAAATGAGGATCCATTGCAGTTTCAAAGGTATGACCTAAGTGACAGAGAAATGTGCATAAGCAAAGAATTTTTTTCTTTTTTTTTCTTTTTTTTTTTTTCCTTCTGTTGGTGTACTGAAAGAGGAATTCCATATGAAAATAATTCTTCTGGTTTTCCTTTTCCATTCTAAGATATTTGTGATATGACCACCTGGAGCATTTGACAAATAAATAATTTCACCCACCTTTCCTTATAAACCATATGCTATCACTAGGAGTGCTGAGCCTAAGCTCAGGACAATAATAATGCAAATCTAGGCTGCTGCTAAGTTATGGAGTTAGAATGGACAGAGAAATCTACTTCTGGTAAAAAATACTTGTGTAATAGCAGATGCTGAGACCATGTTAGTATTTGGCAACACTGCTTAAGACGGGAAATTTTTGAGGTTATGGTAAGAAAGCGTAGTAGAGAGCTAAGAGATTCTAGCTTACACAGAGTGCTTGAGAGACTCATGAGAGCAAGGAACAGATTGCAAGTAACAAAGGGGAACTGACAGTCTGGAGAGCATTGTGCAAAACTTGCTGCAATTCAGAAAGTATTTGAGTTGGCTACAGACAGGCCTTGAAGCAAGAACATGTCCACAAGGAAACACTGGAAGCCTCTGTTAATCCTTTTAATTTCAGTTAGAATCATAGAATCATAGAATATCCTGAGTTGGAAGGGACCTTTAAGGATCATCAAGTCCAACTCTTGACACCGCACAGGTCTACCCAAAAGTTCAGACCATGTGACTAAGCGCACAGTCCAATCTCTTCTTAAATTCAGTCAGGCTCGGTGCAGTGACCACTTCCCTGGGGAGCCTGTTCCAGTGTGCAACCACCCTCTCTGTGAAGAACCCCCTCCTGATGTCAAGCCTAAACTTCCCCTGCCTCAGCTTAACCCCGTTCCCGCGGGTCCTGTCGCTGGTGTTAATGGAGAAAAGGTCTCCTGCCTCTCGACACCCCCTTACGAGGAAGTTGTAGACTGCGATGAGGTCTCCCCTCAGCCTCCTCTTCTCCAGGCTGAACAGGCCCAGTGCCCTCAGCCGTTCCTCGTACGTCTTCCCCTCCAGGCCTTTCACCATCTTCGTAGCCCTCCTCTGGACACTCTCCAACAGTTTCATGTCCTTTTTATACTGTGGTGCCCAGAACTGCACACAGTACTCGAGGTGAGGCCGCACCAGCGCAGAGTAGAGCGGGACAATCACCTCCCTCGACCTACTAGTGATGCCCTGCTTGATGCACCCCAGGACACGGTTGGCCCTCCTGGCTGCCAGGGCACACTGCCGGCTCATATTCAACTTGCTGTCTACCACGACCCCCAGATCCCTCTCTTCTAGGCTGCTCTCCAGCGTCTCATCGCACAGTCTGTACGTGCAGCCAGGGTTTCCCTGTCCCAGGTGCAGGACCCGGCACTTGCTCTTATTGAACTTCATGCGGTTGGCGATCGCCCAGCTCTCCAACCTATCCAGATCCCTCTGCAAGGCCTTTCCACCCTCAACAGAGTCCACAACTCCTCCAAGTTTGGTGTCATCAGCAAACTTGCTCAAAATACCTTCTATTCCTACATCCAGATCGTTTATAAAAATATTGAAAAGTACCGAAATATTGAACAGTTCCTTAGTCACATGATCTTTCCAATGTTAAAAAAGATTAGATCTCTGGCTTTTCAGTGGAATAACCCTAAGCACCAGTACAGGCTGGGGGGTCACCTGCTGCAGTGCAGCTCTGCAGAGAGAGACCTGAGAGTCCTGGTGGACAGCAGGCTGTTGCGAGTGCAACATGCCCTCGTGGTCAAGAAGGCCAACGGTACCCTGGGGTGCATTTTGAAGAGTGCTGCCAGCAGGTCAAGGGAGGTGATCCTCCCCCTCTACTCAGCCCTGGTGAGGCCACGACTGGATTACTGTGTCCAGCTCTGGGCTCCCCAGTACCAGAGAGACATAGAACTACTGGAGCGAGTCCAGAGGAGGGCTACTAAAATGATTAGATGGCTCGAGCACCTGTCGCATGATGACAAGATGAGAGAACTGGGCCTGTTTAGCCCAGGAAAGAGAAGACTGAGGGGAGACCTCATAAATGTGTATAAATATCTGAGGGGAGGGTGTCAAGAGGATGGAGCCAATCTCTTTTCAGTTGTGCCCAGCAACAGGACAAGAGGCAACAGGCACAAACTGAAGCACAGGAGGTTCCAGCTAAGTACAAGAGGGCACTTCTTTACTGTGAGGGTGACAGAGGACTGGCACAGGCTGCCCAGAGAGGTTGTGGGGTCTTCCTCTCTGGAGCTATTCAAAACCCACCTGGATGCAACGTGCTCTAGGTGATCCTGCTCGGCATGGGGGTAGGATTAGATGGTCTTCAGGCCAACTTTGGCCATTCTGGGATTCTGGGATTCTGTGAGATGTCCTTTGGTCCTCTTTGGGGAGCTCATCATGAAGGGAATATCTAGACACTACTACTTCAGTCCTCTCACTGACAAAGTCCTACAACAGCTTCTGTATAATAAATAACTACCACTTAAATAGTAGGAGGTTCAAAATTGTAACCTAGTGACTAATCTAATGCATGAAATAGTAATGAAATGTTTTTTTTTTCTTTTAATAGACAGAACATGAGAATCAATTAATAAAGCATGAAACTGAAGAAATAACTGTTATTGAAGAAGTGGCATAATGACATGCAAGTGAAGAGAGTCGGATTGTTTTTGTTTTTGTTTTTGTTTTCACATGAACAATTATGTATCTTGTTGGCAATAATTTATAGGTTTTTCATATCGTCCTTCTTGTAAGCAGAGATAACATCATTGCCTGTAGAGGCAGCTCCTCAGGAACCTGTCTTTGAAAAACTCCTTGTATTTGCTTGCATTTTCAAAAAATATTTTCAGTTGTATGATGATGATTTCTTCCTTTTTCTTATGAAGACCATTTTTGCAGTGTTTCGGCAAAATATTTCAGTAGTGCTGTGGAAGTAATTATACTAATTTTCAATCTAATCCAAAAGAATAAAATAGGAGCAACCACATTTAAGGGTTTTATTCAGAGCCTTCAGTGGTCCACTGCCTAGGAAACAGCTTGATCAAGGCTGTAATCAGGAGTAAAAATTTATCATCTCTATGAAAACCCACTGAAAATAGGCCAAGATTAAACATCTCAAAAATGCTCACTTGTCCACAGAAAATGAATATTGTTAAAGATTTCAGGAGACAATTTTCTCATAAACCCATTTATTGCCTCCAAACTATGTTGCTAAGTCCTTCAGCACAATATCACCTAGGGGCTGACCCTCACTGTTTACAAACCCAACGGTTTCCTCCCACCTCTCATCACTTCTTATTTGTGGTAAATAAAAGTATAACTTGAATTGTGAATACTAACAGGTATCAGATAGCTGGGAAGGGGAGGAGGGATGGTGTACAATGTCAGAAATTAAACGTTTGAACTTTCAACCAGAAGCCTGACACTTGCAAGCTGAAGTACAGGCTGGCTGTTATTATAACACCTGGACAAAACAGAAGTAACACATCCTGAACCTCTAACTAGTAAGCAGGTATGAGACACAACCTTAGTATGGAAAGCTAATCATGCATTCCACTTTAGCATGTGGATCATTTCAGTTGGGGAAACCAAGGGTTAGAGGTCATTTATAACCATGGGGTGGCCAGTGTCCCATCTCTTATTTTCCCCATGCCTGTACACTTCATTACCATAGCCTGTGTCTCCACTTCTAAAGGCCTCTGCTGTCATACAAGGATACCCTTCATCAGTGGTGGTACCTTGGTGGTATCACACAAAGATAAAAGTAAACCTAAATCTGGGCTGCTGGCAGGACACTTCCATAGAAGTCTCTAACTTACTGCCAGTCTCCAAACTAAGTTGTGAGAGACAGACAGACAGACCTCTGGATCTGAGACCCCATCCTGCCCTGAGCAAGCTGAAGTTGACTCTCATGTCATCCAATGTATATATTACACTGTTTGCCTTTCTGCTTTCTCTCAGGATTTTAAAGTCCATCACATCATAGTCCTTGCATTTAAGACTGCCCTTGACTCACATCCTTGACCAGTTTTTGTTTAATGAGTTGCAGATCCAGTTCAGAAGATCCTGTAGTTTGCTTGTCTAGCATGTGTATCTAAATATTGTTTCTGGTGATGATTTCTATAATTCTCCTGTTTTACATGTATCCTGACACACTGCCCTTCCAGCAGGTCTCAGGATGGTTAAAAACATCTTAGGCAGCTGAAATCCCATCCTGGCAGATAAAGTTCACTCCGGGTGACAAAATTCCACTAGTCCACAAGAAGTCCTCTTTGAAAACAATTTTTTTCTGATTTTGTGTTTCTAAACAAGCTTTTATTAACAATTTCTTTCAACTACCTTTAAAAACAGAAACAGAGAAGGAGCCTAATCTTAAACTATCACTTCCTAACAATAAAAGCTTCTGCATCAAAAGTGTTCAACTAAAGGCAAAGTTTATTTTAATTTAAGGGAAATGAAACAGATAAGGCCTACCAGATCCTCTCCATCCTGTTTCACTCACATTCAATCATGGCTATTGGTGAACTTCTTGCATCCACACTGCTTTCACTAGGAAAGCTGATGAGGCTACAAAGCCACTCAACAACCTGGAATTCACTGGAATTCACTTCTAGCATCCTGATGAGAACACAAGAAATCTCTCCATGACACAATGGAGGAGGGAGTAGGGGTGGGGTTAAGGTATCCCTTTCCCATCCCTGAGCAAAGGCCCATACAGTGATCACTACAAAAGGATGGTCAGGTTGTGTAACCTTCTATTCAAGTGGTTTGAATATTCACATTCACACACATCAAAGCCCTGCATTCTGGTCTCCTGTTGCTGTTCCTCTGTTCTGTGGAAAACATCACCTCCTGAAAAACAGAGAATCTTTGGTGCAAGGACCAAAAACAGGGTATTTGTAATGTTGCAGTCTATACAAGTCATAATACATCAGCAGTACAAAATGTCTAGGCAGTTCATGTGAGTACCCTTATTGCTGTTGGATCAATGAATTATTCTTCGAGCTTTAGTGACTTTTAGGAAAGGTTATTTTTAATTCTGTTTCTGCAGTGACTTTACTCCTTGTAAAGTTCAAAGATGGGAATCAATCTCAGTATCTCTGCCCAGTTTTCCTCTGGAAATAGCCTATTGTTTTTCCTCTCCTGGGTTATAATGAGACAGCTCAGTGCTAGTTCCCTAGCCTCCAGAAGATAACAGGCTTTGATAATATCATCAACTGCACTGGCCTTGCTTGGAATTTTTGTTTTGTTTTGTTTTTTGTTTACATTTTTTAAAGCCTCAGGTGAGGATTTGCCCTAAATATAGTTAAACAAAGAAATCCCCTGGGTAGAAGAGTTCCTTTGTGGTGGTTACAACACTGTCTTTGTGGGCTGCTTGGATTGTTCTCCTGTAGTGTTTTCTTTTTCTTTTTTTTTTATTTTTAAAAAAGTATCCAAACCCCAAAACCTCAAAACCCAGACTTCCTCAATGTGTTACGCAGATCCACAATCTGAGAGAGTGCCAGAGAGCATGCCACTCCTCTGCTGTTTGCTACAGGCTTGAAAGCTCTTCAGAGTGGGAGCAGGAAGATCTGTCTGGGATGCACAAGTGACCATGTGGAGTTACAGTCCCCTCACAGCAAAAGTTGACATTAAACACCATCCTTAAAGTGGTGCAGAATCAACAAATGCAATTTTGATAGAATTGATCCTTTCTCCTCTCCAGCCCAATCTCTGGGCTCAACTCAACTCCTTCCCGTCTTTGCTCCTGAAGTATGAGGTGCCTGGAGATGAGCAGAGCTCCTATTTTGGAGGTGTCTGCTGCAGGAATGGGTGGGAGACAGCTTAGCACTCTGGGACCTATATTGTTGGAGGAGGGAGAAAAAGGGAAGTAAAAGGCTGGGAGAAAGGAGAGTGAAAGGCACATAAACTCTGTCTTCCTTCAATTTCCTGAACCCCATTTGATTCTCCCAGAAATTTCATATGGCTTTAATTTTATTAGCCCAGACACTTTGCCCCCTTCCTTCTCTATAAAATGTAATCACTATTAAAGTCTGTTACCACCATTAAAAAGAGTGATTTTCTTCCAAAGATGAGGACACAATAGAGTGTATTTTGCTTGTATGTTTGTTTTAAATTCTTTGTAGTCGGAAGTCCTTTCTTCTACCTCTACAGCTCAGTAAGTGTTCAAAAGATATCTGCATGGACAAGCACGGAATTTCTTTTATCTGGAATTGCAGTGAATCTTCAGATGACTTTTTCCTCTGAATGACCACACTGGGTTCAGACCTGAAGTCTGAACTTTCATTTTTTTCAACAGGAAAAGTTATTCTCAACAGAAAGAGCTTCTTCTATAACTAAATCTGTGCTTTTTTTTTTTTTTTTTTTTGACAGAAAAAAAACAAACCACCTATTCCTATTTGCTCATCCTTCCTGTTCACAGTGTTTGTTTGTTTCATAACTATGCTTCAGAAAAACTTTGCCACATTTTTATTCTCTCCTGAAATACAGAGAAAGTGCACTCCCAAGGGACTCATGAATGCATCCTTATAAAAGCACCATTCCCTTAAACCTTTCCATTTGAAACCATGAAAGACTAAGCCAGGCTTTCTCGATTCCCTTATGATTACTGTTTCTAGGGATGACTGGAGGGTTTTTTTAAGTTCTCAATGCTCAAGGTGAGTTGTTCATCTTCTAAATGAATACTGAGTTACTGATGGACATGATCAAATGCATGAACTCAACGAAAAGGTGTCACTTAATACATTACTTTCCAGTCCAGTCTTGTTCTACACTTCTAATACATCATGTGAGCGTAAGTGGAGATGGTGTGATTTTCATTTCTTTAGAAAAGACTTTTGTAGTCAAAAAGCTGATAATAAGGAGACTTACTGTGCCACACCGTCTCTCTTTTTGAATTGCAGAGAAGAAAGCAGGTCAGAAATCCATTTGGGGGTGATGGTTGGTCTTAGTGACAACTCAGTATCATTGATGTTTACAAGCAGCGTAAGAGCATGAAGCTGGAAAACAACAGCACACTTACAGCTCATCAGTGATCAGTCTCACACTGCAGCAGGAATCTAGGCAGTGGAAATACTCATGAGCCCACTGCATTATCTTCAGCTTTTTCCTTTGGAAATAACTGTATCATAGCTATATATGACTAGCTGATAATACAAACTAATACTGATATGATTATATCTTTACATATGTCAATAAAGAAGTAGCAGGACAGGAACTGGGGATTTTGACAGAGAATGGTGACTCCTGGAGCAGCCTGGTAGGGTGCTGGGCAGCAGCCCTTTTTTTTTTCAAATATAATAGGCAAGAAACAGGAGTGGTAAAGGAGCATATAGACAGACTCCTATTAGATTTTAACCACAGTAGAATGCATCTGCCTGTTCTTAAGAAGAAAATATTGTCAATGTTTGGGCTAGGATAGAATTACTTTTCTTTGTAGAGGCTCACTGATGCTGTGTGTTGGATTTTTATTAAAGTAGTGGTGATAGCACATTGATGTTTTAGTTGTTTCTGAGCAGTGCTTATGCTGCCCTGTCAGCAAAGAGGCTGGGGGTGCTCAAGAAGCTGTGAGGGGACAGAACCAGGTCAACTGACTTCAACTGACAAAAGGGTTATCCCACCCCATATGACGTTGTGCTCAACAATAAAAACTGGGGGACAAAAAAGGAGGATGTGGTGATGTTTGGAGTAATAGCATTTGTCTTCTCAAGTAACCGTTGCATGTGATACACTGATACGCCCTGCTTTCCTGGAAATGGCTGAACATCTGCCTGCAGTGAGAGGTAGTGAATGAATCCCTTGTTTTGTTTCGCTTGTGTATGCAGCTTTTGCTTTAACTAGTGAACTGTCTTTATCTCAACCCCTAGTAAAGGAGCTCCCTATCCTCAAAGGAAAGGGGGAGAAAATACAATGAAAAGGGCTCAGGGGTTGAGATAAAAACAGGGAGATCAATCAACAATTATCATCACAGGAAAAACAGACTCAGCATAGGGAGAACAGATAAATTTATTGCACATTACTAACAAGCTAGAGAAGTGAGAAACAAAGAACAAACAAAAACCACTTTCCTTCCCTTCATCCACCCTCTCCTACTTCCTCTTCCTGAGTTGTGTAAGGGAACAGGGAACGGGGGCTGTAGTTACGCTTCATCTCTGCACTCCTTCATGGTCACTCCCTGCCCCTGATCCCCATGGGGTCCCTCCCACGGGATGCCAAACTTCCCAAATTGAGCCTGCGGGGGGCTGCCCAAAGGCAGCAGCTCTTCAGGAACTGCTCCCACACAGCTCCGTCCCATGGGGTCCATCCCCCGGGAGCAAACTGCTCCAGCACGGGT